TCAACGTAGGCTATTTTCAAAAAACTATCGATTTTATATTTATATTAGCATTCTTTATCATTTATAATACCTAGATATGTTTTAAAATGCAATTTAAAGCATTTTTGATTTCGATCATAAAAGGCTATTTCCAAAAAAAATATCGATTTTATATCTATATTAGCATTCTTTATCATTTATAATACCTAGATATGTTTTAAAATGCAATTTAAAGCATTTTTGGTTTCGATCATAGTAGGCTATTTTCAAAAAAATATCGATTTTATATTTATATTAGCATTCTTGATCATTTATAATACCTAGATATGTTTTAAAATGCAATTCAAAGCATTTTTGATTTCGATCATAGTAGGCTATTTCCAAAAAAAATATCGATTTTATATCTATATTAGCATTCTTCATCATTTATAATACCTAGATATGTTTTAAAATGCAATTTAAAGCATTTTTGATTTCGATCATAGTAGGCTATATTCAAAAAAATATCGATTTTATATCTTCATTAGCATTCTTTATCATTTATAATACCTAGATATGTTTTAAAATGCAATTTAAAGCATTTTTGGTTTCGATCATAGTAGGCTATATTCAAAAAAATATCGATTTTATATCTTCATTAGCATTCTTTATCATTTATAATACCTAGATATGTTTTAAAATGCAATTTAAAGCATTTTTGGTTTCGATCATAGTAGGCTATATTCAAAAAAACATCGATTTTATATCTTCATTAGCATTCTTTATCATTTATAATACCTAGATATGTTTTAAAATGCAATTTAAAGCATTTTTGGTTTCGATCATATTAAGCTATTTTCAAAAAAAATATCGATTTTATATCTATATTAGCATTCTTCATCATTTATAATACCTAGATATGTTTTAAAATGCAATTTAAAGCATTTTTGATTTCGATCATAGTAGGCTATATTCAAAAAAATATCGATTTTATATCTTCATTAGCATTCTTTATCATTTATAATACCTAGATATGTTTTAAAATGCAATTTAAAGCATTTTTGGTTTCGATCATATTAAGCTATTTTCAAAAAAAATATCGATTTTATATCTATATTAGCATTCTTCATCATTTATAATACCTAGATATGCTTTAAAATGCAATTTAAAGGCTATATTCAAGAAAATATCGATTTTATATCTTCATTAGCATTCTTTATCATTTATAATACCTAGATATGTTTTAAAATGCAATTCAAAGCATTTTTGGTTTTAATCATAGTAGGCTATTTTCAAAAAAAAATATCGATTTTATATCGATATTAGCATTCTTTATCATTTATAATACCTAGATATGTTTTAAAATGCAATTCAAAGCATTTTTGGTTTTAATCATAGTAGGCTATTTTCAAAAAAAATATCGATTTTATATCTTCATTAGCATTCTTTATCATTTATAATACCTAGATATGTTTTAAAATGCAATTTAAAGCATTTTTGTTTCGATCATAGTAGGCTATATTCAAAAAAATATCGATTTTATATCTTCATTAGCATTCTTTATCATTTATAATACCTAGATATGTTTTAAAATGCAATTCAAAGCATTTTTGGTTTTAATCATAGTAGGCTATTTTCAAAAAAAAATATCGATTTTATATCGATATTAGCAATCTTTATCATTTATAATACCTAGATATGTTTTAAAATGCAATTTAAAGCATTTTTGGTTTCGATCATAGTAGGCTATTTCCAAAAAAAATATCGATTTTATATCTTTATTAGCATTCTTTATCATTTATAAAACCTAGATATGTTTTAAAATGAAATTTAAAGCATTTTAACTTCCACGCAAAAGCGTGTAAGTTATTAGTTTCACGAAAAACACACTTTTTTAATACAGCCTGAAGGACTCATTTTAAAAAATCTCAAGGGGTACCAAATTTGTGTAATTGGACATGGGTGAAGATCATCTGGCAGACGGAATTCCTAGGAACTTTTCTTAGGAATTCCTAGAAAGTTTTCTGCGATTTCCTAAAAAAATTCCTTAGACTTCCTATCATTATGGCCCAAACTTCCTTAGTTTTTAAAAGTAATTCCTAGTAAATCTAGGAATTCCTAATTTTTTTAGAAATTCCTAGGAGATATATTTTTTTTGTAATAATTGCGATTCGCAAAAATATTTTTTGAAAAATTCCTAAGAAAATTAGGAAGTTGTAGAAATTCCTAGAAAATTCCTAGGAACTTATAGTAATTCTTAGAAATTACTATGAATTTTAAGGAATTACTAAAGATCGTAGGAATTTTTAAGAACTTTAAAAGAATTAATTTTCTGCGATTCTTAGGTATTGCTATACATTTTAGAAATTCCTAAGAATCGTAGGTCTTTTATCAAGGTCTGCATGACGAGAAATCCATCACCATTTATTGGGTGTTAAAAGCCTGGCAGAAAGTAATTCTTTGGAATTCCTGTTACTTTACGTAGGAATTTCAAGGAAAAAGTAGAAAATTCTCCTAGGACTTCCTTTAATTTCCTAGGAATTTCTAGAAAAACGAAATTATTTCCTAGAAAGTCCTAGGAAATTTCCTACTTTTTCCTTAACGACGAAAGTATTTTTGAGAAAATTCCTAGGAATTTACTTAGGAAATCCTAGAAATTCTTAGGTAACTTAAGAAATTCTTAAGTAATTTTTACTTCTACGCAGTAAAAACTGTAACAGCTTCTCGAAAAACTGTAAAAGCAAATATTTCCAATTGCGATAAAAATACTTCTTCTCAAAAATTTGAAATGCTGCCATGAATGACCTATACTATTCAGCACTAACTTACAGCTATATTAAATCACAGCTGTTAATTGCATATGTGTTAAAGCAGCTCGGTAGGAATTGTTTAGTACTTCGATACCTAATTATTGCAGTACACAACGATCATGGGTTAACGTATACAACAGTTATTTTACAATTTATTATACTTAGGCTTACGTATAAATAAGAATGTATACGTAGGGATTAAATTATAGCTGCAAATTTGACCTTTAGTTTGAATAACAAGCAGCTTTAATTAAAGATAATGCGTACTGCTTAGGTACGCTTATCGGTACTTGTTCATTAAACTTTTGCAAATTTGACTATATTATTTCCTTTTACAAAAAGTCTGGAGAAAAATGCCGATCGGAATTAGTTCTGTACAAGTCTCTATTTTTGCTTCAATTTTAGCCACCACGTTTTAAGTACAGATAAGCGATTTCCTAAACAATACATACCTCAATTTACAGCTGCATGTCATATAGACCCAAAAACTTACACCTGTGTTATGAAGCTGTAAATTAGGACTAAATAGTACAGAATTCTATTAAATCTTAATTTGTTTGGATAGAAACTTTTTGCGATATAGTCAATTGTATTCTGACAAAAACAAATAACATACTCGCTTTTGCTAGAAGATATTTTTAAAAATGATTAAAAAAATCGTTCAGCCATCGGCGTTTTTGGGTTGAATTTTCTAATATTTCTCAAAATTTTTGGGATTTCTTTAGTATAGCCTGAAATATTCTAGGTAATCCTAAGAAATCCTGATAAACCCTAGAAAATATAAGTAATTCTAGTATTTCCTAGGATTTTGGGGAAATCCTTTCAAGAACTTTCTGTAATATCCTAGGAAATCAAATGATATACTAGGAAATCATAGTAAACATAAACATTTTATAATTATTCTAACGAGGGTTCTAGGAATGACTAGGATTTTCTAGTATTTCCTAATATTACTAGGAAGTTTCTAGAAATTTCTACAACTTCCTAATTTTCTTAGGAATTTTTCAAAAAATATTTTTGCGAATCGCAATTATTACAAAAAAATATATCTCCTAGGAATTTCTAAAAAAATTAGGAATTCCTAGATTTACTAGGAATTACTTTTAAAAACTAAGGAAGTTTGGGCCATAATGATAGGAAGTCTAAGGAATTTTTTTAGGAAATCGCAGAAAACTTTCTAGGAATTCCTAAGAAAAGTTCCTAGGAATTCCGTCTGCCAGATGACCTAGAAGCATTGGACATCATCTATGCCTTAAAAACGATAAAAAACGTTTTTTTTGAATTTTGAAAATTTTTCGCGTTCAAACGAATATATCTGAAGATTAAATTTTTTGAAGTTCTCGAGATAATAACATAGCTTTCGCGAATGAAAAAAAAAATTCTAAAGATTGCTAAAGATATTAGAGTTTCAATATTTAAATTTTTTTTTCTTTTCGCCTTAGCGAATTATAGCGAACTCAATTTTATTTTTTTCAAATTTTAATTTTAATTTTTGAAAGAAATAACTGCAAGACGCAAAGAACCATAATTTTTCTAAGGTCAATCCTATCAAAAAATTTCCAATGACCTTTACAAGCCCGGACTCCCTTAATTCCACAAAAATTTTATAAATGGCTGCACAAAACTTCAAATGACTTCACAAACCCCCTTAATCCCACTAAAACTTTAATTCCTCCGCAACCATCCATGTCCCCCGTCACCCACCTTATCAAACTTTCCACCACTCCCCACCTGACAGACACCTTATCAACACCCCCCAAATCATTGGATTCACATGGCTTCCGTTCTAGAGTCAGTGAATTGGGCTTTTATAATGTAGATTTTTCTTCAATAATCACCAACTTTTATTAATTTTTAGGAATTTTAATTGATTATTGACAATTTTAAAAGCTTTTAAGTTTGCCAATTTTTAGCATTTAGCCGATGTAAAATAAAACTTTTGTAAAATGCTGTAAAATGATGTAAAATCGTTGTAAAATGGTGTAAAACGATATAAAATTTTATTATTTTACACCGTTTTACACCAATTTTCACTTTACAGACAGTCGTTCTCCCCCTGATAGTTCATGATTGCTCGAGATTTACTATTTTTTTAATTCGTGATTTTACTACGTTTTTTTAATCATAAAGCTAATTGCTTAGCAATGCATTCGAAAATTCCTTTTAAATCATAAAAAAAATGTCAACGGTTTTTGAAAATTTGAAATTTTCGAATGTGCATATTTTAATATCCCTAGACTTCATAAAGTCTGTCGATATTTTATCCAATTCTGTCTATTAAAGGCGACATCATTTTTCAATTAGTCATTATTTAACCTTCTATCTAAAGCCATTTTATTGATCATAATAGAAAAAAAAATTAAATAAATTTTTAACACATTATACGTAAACAATACAAAACAAAAATTGATATAAAATGTCGATAGAATGCAGGTTATGTGGAAATATTAGTCCTGCAAAGATTCAACTTTCGGATAAGATTAAAGGTAAGTGAATTTTTTGAAAATTAAGCGTTTGTGGCAAATTATAATATGTGTATTATTGTTTTTAGGATTTCTATCCTTCAAAGAGTTTGTCGAATATTTTTGTAGAATTGATTTGGATGATCCAGGTATTGCAAACAAGCTTCCTACTTCTGTATGTCAGGATTGTTATTATGTGCTCCTTAATTTCTGCAAATTCACAATCACTGTTGAGAAGTTACAAAATAAGTTTAAGAACAGACTTCCTCAGGAAGAACATCCAGTATCCTACAATAAAGTTGCGTTAAAAAGAAAACATGAAGATAATCCTCAGAAAGAATCGTCCGGTGGAACGAATGATTGTAATATTAAGGATGAAAGCGATAGTCGACTAAGCATTAAAAGGAATAAGATTTTTCGGACTAATGACGAAATCAAGGCTCCTGAAAAGCATGAAAACGTATGCATTAATTAACTTTATTGTCAGGATTTTAAGAAAAAAAAAATAGCATTAAACCAAGGAGAAAGAACTAGTGGGTAAATGTATGAAAATTACATGTACATGCAGGTATGACAGAAATGAAACAATCAAAGTTCAAAGAAGTTTTTAGCGCATTTTTGAAAACTTGTTTTCGAAAAGGAAGCTGAATAATACACTTCGTTCGTTCGTCTCCAGAAAAAACTTTTTAACCAGACATCGCAGAGAGCTCAGGTTTGTTTTATTAGCTCCGTTACTATTGTTTATTATCCGATCGAACAGTTAAAAGTCTTGAAACAGTTTATTTATGCTATAATTAATGAATTTTTGTTTTCAGTGTAACCTGCTCAAATTTTATTTTACCTCTATAATTTCAAATTTTTTCTAACCGTTGTAAAATTTGAATTTCAAAAAACCGTTAAATGATAAACTTTTTTTGTGTGGAAATTCATTGCAACAAATTATTTAATTATACTATAATTAATTTTTTCATAGTGCAACTTTTAAATAATAAATCCTTTCTATATAAGCATTCATTGTAATTATTTGTTAATTACACTAAAATTAATATTCTTCTAATCTTCTCATGATCTGTAAATGAACGCAAAATAATTACATAATCAAATACTGATCGCTAACACAAAAATGCGCTTAAGTCCCTCGATAAATAACACGAGGACTTCTGTAATTTCACAATGATTCAGATTCGGAAAAAATGTTCAAAAATTCCTTGTGCACAATTTTTTTTCCGACACTTTAGAAAATTGAAAGTTTTTGTTAATTTCAGTTGATTTGATTCTTTTAGCATCTTCTACATAATGTTTTCGTTCATTGCTTAAAAAATCAGTCCTTAATATAAAGGATAAACATGATTTTTTATCAAAAGTTTTTAAAAGTTTATCAAAAAATTTTGTGCATGATCAAATTTTGTATGAAAATTTATGTAAACTTTGATTGCACATATCTCAAAAACGGCATCAAACGGCATGTCCCCAGTAATATGGGAGATAGATTTAAGCTTAATTTATTGATTTATATAGGTTTCAGAGAGGTCTTTGGAAGACTTTTTAACTTATGAATAGTTTAAGTTTTGCAAAAATACTCAGATTTCAATTCCATTTTTAAGGCTTAATAAGCAGATTTCTATTAATTTGGTTGTTTTTATATGTAAAGCTACGCTTAAATTAGCTAGCAACTGCTTCCAAGACATCCAAATAACAAATTAAAGTAGAAAAAATCATATTTCTTTTTTCATACTCAAATTGTAAACAAATTTTGGGTGAGATTAAATTAATGATTTCTGGAGTTAGACAGCAAATAGGAACGAGATATTTTTAAAGGATATGCATGAAGGTAAGATCTTTAATCTGGCATTTAAAAGACAAAGTTTAATTAACATGAAATTTTTGAATTTTTGAACATTTTTTTCGATTCTGAATCATTGTGAATTTTTTAAAAATTAATATTATTTGAAAACTTTAAAGATTTTTTAAGTTTTTTTAATGCATTAAAACCCATTTAATGATTTTTTAAAGCTTATATCTTTAAAAATTACTTAAGTTTATTCAAAAATCTCCAAAAAACTATACTGCTTGTTGAAACACAGTTGCAGTATCACTCCAATGTCTTAAGAGCTACCTATTTATCTTTTCAAATATTTTGATAAATTATGCTTTAAGTTTATTTTGTTAAAAAAATTACAAAAGTCCTCATGTTATTGATCGAGGGACTTCACCGCATTTTTGACGCAGCGATCAGTATTTGATTATCAAATTATTTTGCGTTCATTTACAGATCATTATATAGAAAGGCTTTATTATTTAACGGTCAATAAATAATTTGAAATATTACCGTTAAAAGTTGCACTAAAAAAACATAAATTATAATATGATTAATAATTTGTTGCAATGAATTTCCATTCAGAAAAAACTTGGTGTGAGGCTGAAGATTCCTTAAATTTTAATAATTACTCAGTTAATAGAGCAGACCGTGATCGTGGCGGTGTTGCTATTATTATTAAATCGTCAATCTCACATAGTTCAGTCACAACATTTAAATTAGATCATGCTGAATCTGTCTCTTTAGTCATTCAATTAAATAATGAAGAAATTAATATGACATCAATTTACATTTCACCTGCAGCATCGAGACTGCAGTCAAAGTTATTCTTTTCACAAATTTTCAATAAACCCGGCCAACATGTTGTTGCGGGTGACTTTAATTGTAAGCACACAGCGTGGAACAATATGAATAAAGATCATAAAGGCATTGACCTTTATGATCTTTCTTCATCTCGTAATTATAATATCCTAGCACCTGATGCGCCAACTCACATTCCGTACGTCGGCGATGTCTCGACTATTGACTTAGTATTTCACAAATCCAATCTTCGATTCTCAAATCCAGTAACAATTAATGACCTTTCATCTGATCATCTTCCAGCCTCTTTCTCAATCCTAAATAATTATGGTGGAGGAAGTGGCGTTGCAGGACTCAATCTCACGAAAGCTAATTGGAAGAAATTTAGAAACTTTATTAATTTTGACGTCTCCAGAGAGACATTTAGTAATTCCACAGTAGAGGACATTGACGTGTCAATAGCCAGGTTGACTTCGATTGTTGAAAGCAGCATGCAAGCTTGCATACCTAAGAAGCGAGTCGCTAGGAACAGATATATGTATTCTGTTAAGGTAAAGAATTTGATTTCTCACAGAAATCAATTCCATAGCCTTTATCAGAGTACATATGATCAGTCATATAAATCGTGCGTTAATCAGTTGAACAGAATGATTAGAAGAGAGATCCAGCAAGAAAAAAAAGTTTCAGTGGAACGAGAAATTAAAATCGTTGTCATATCGCGACAATTCACTGTTTGAATTTACAAAGTCAGTTAAGAAAAAGAATCAACTAATTCCCCCATTAAGAGACAGCAATGATTTCGCGTACTCAAGTTACAATAAAGCAAACCTATTAGCTAAAACATTCCTGGACATCCACAATGTCTCAGCTAATTCCACTTCTAAACACGAATCAATAGTGAGAGAATCCATCCACAATATTAACAGCTCACCGAGCAGTGAATTCGATAATATTGATGAGAATCGAGTCAGTCAAGTCTTGAAAAGTCTAAATGTCAAAAAGGCATCCGGACCAGATCTTATTCCAAACGCAGCTCTTAAAGCTCTTAGCAGTTCTGAGAACTTTGTAAGCAAATTAACGTCAATATTCAATGGATGTCTCTCATTATCTTACTTCCCAAAATCGTGGAAGATTGCTAAAATTATTCCGATTCCTAAATCTAAGCCTGCTTCTACAAATTCAACCGACTATCGCCCAATATCATTGCTGTCAACTATGGGTAAGGTCTTTGAGAGACTGATCCTAGATCGTATGAATGACTTTGAAGAATCCAATAGTATAATAATAAATCAGCAATTTGGATTTAAATCTAATCACTCGACTGTTCAACAAATCTTAAGACTAACTGAAAAAGCATCACTAGGCTTTAATAAAAATAAAAGCATTGGCATGGTGATGCTGGATCTCAGAAAAGCCTACGACTCAGTATGGCATGATGCTTTAGTCCACAAATTGAAGAAACTTGGTTATCCAATGTATCTCATTAAGCTCATTAATTCATATCTTAGAGATAGATTGGCTTTCGTGACTGTTGGCGATTCTGTCTCAGCAATGTTTAAAATCCTGGCTGGAGTTCCTCAAGGTTCGATTATAGCTCCACATTTGTTCAATGTCTTCATTAACGACATTCCGATTCCTCCTAGAGGTGAATTGGCTTTGTTCGCTGATGACACTGCATACTTTATTGAAGCCCCCTGGAAAAATTTAAAGCTCATTAAAAATCATTTAGTTAATACATTGCAGTCATTCCAGAATTTCTTTCATGAGTGGAAGATATTCTTGAATGACAGTAAGACCGAATTTATAGTCTTTTCGAGATCCTCAAAAATGATTCAGAAATGTCAGGATGATGTGATTAAATTTAATTCACTTGAATTCAGATGGAAAAGTCAAGTAAAATACCTTGGAATTATTCTAGATACAAAATTAACGTACAAGAGTCACGTTGATTGGATATTGCGAAAAGCAAAGTCTGTTGCGTTCTCTCAGCTGTATTGCTTGCTTAAACGAAATTCGGGAGTCACAGTTGATTCAAAACTCAGAATTTATAAATCTATAATAAGACCAGTCGTCGCTTATGGATGTAGCATTTTCATTAATTGTGCAGCTTCACACTTAAACAAAATCCAAATTTTCCAAAATAAAGTTTTAAGTTCGCTCTTGACATCAATTGGAATGATTTCGTCTCAAATCTTGAAGTTCATAGTCGAGCAAAGATTCCATTCATGGCTGATTTCTTCAATAAACTTACAGTCAACTTCTATCATAGAATTGACAGTCATAAGAACACGTTGATCAATAATCTTGGAAAATACGACTACTCTCATCTTGAATATCGACTTAAACACAAACTTCCAAGACCTGTAACATTACTGTAAAAGTTATGGGCATCATTATTTAGTTTCCAAGTGGTTCTTCTAACTACTTTATATGTTTTTTATACTTACCTGAGTACTTATTCACTTTTTTTTTTTAAATAAAATTTTCCTCACGTTGGGTTGTTTTTTCAATTTTTTAGCCCACATAAACAATTCACTCATTTAACTTATAAACTTCACATTATCTCCTTAATAATGAGTTAAAACCGCAAAGGTTGGTATCATTAATGTCAACTGCAATCTTTGTAAAAAAACAAATCTACCAAAGTTCATTACAATAAAGACAAACTTATCGTTATCGTTAAACCATTCAGAAAAACGGTTTATAATTTAACGGTTTTTTGAAATTCAAATTTTACAACGGCTAGAAAAAATTTGAAATTATAGAGGTAATGTTGAATTTTTTAAACGTACTCATCACGTGGTTTTGTTTATGAAATAAAAAAATCATTAATTATAGTATAAATACATTGTTTTAAGACTTTTAACTGTTCGATCGGACAATAAACAATAGTAACGGAGCTAATAAAACAAACCTGAGCTCTCAACGATGTCTGTTTAAAAAGTTTTTCTTCAGACGAACGAACGAACAAAGTGCATTATTAAGCTACCTTTTGAAACAAGTTTCAAAAATCCGCTAAAAAAATATCAAATTTCTTGCAAATTTGCAACGTTATTCCCTATAAACCAACAAAAAAAAATTAAGCTTGTATGTTTATTGAATTTTTTATTTCTTGAAAGAAAGAAAAATCGATAATACCAAATTAGAATTTTACTACTTTTTAAAGTGAATTTTGCATTATTCTCTTAATTATCATTCATATTTTTATTTAGAAAATAAAACAAAATTTGATGTATCTATTATCTAGATGGCTCCGCATCAAATTTTTGTTTTTTGCATAAAAGCAGGTTTTGCAAGTAATTGCAGGTGAATGCACGAAGATTTCACAGTTCTTTCCCCTTGTTTAAAACAGTTAAAATCTAAAAAATTTATTAATGTTGCATCTCATAAAGATATTATCCTCGTAAATTCCATGCTGATTTTGTCGATTTGGTCATGGACTAATTGATTTATTTAATTTTTTTAATTTTAAAACTATATATGAGCTAGTATGGGATTTACATTACCATTTATCTTTGAATAGAATATAGGCGAATGCTTGGAAGAAGTTTACCTGCTTTTCAAAGACGATTTAGAGGCTCGCGAAAAACAATATGAAAAAGTTACTATTAAGGAATCATTATTGATGGACGGTGGAGAGATTCCAAGAAATTGGCTAGAACGTTATCGTGACTTTATAACATGGCAGGATTTATCTTATCAATGTTCTCACTGTACCAAACAAATTAAATCACTCAATGCTTTTATTAAACATTTCGACGAGCTTAAATTATCCACCAACAAACGCATAATTAAGTGTCACTGTGGAAAAATATTCAAGGATCAACTTTTTCTTATATCATACATAAATCATGTGTCAAAACTTCATTATAATCATTTAAAGTTTACATGTATTTTCTGTAGTAAAGTATTTGTTAATGTTGTTAAGCTTAGTAATCATTTGAAGCTGTCTCATGGTAATGCTAACGTTAAAATTTTCCCTTGTTTTGATTGTGGCTTAATTTGCTCTACATTGGACAGATTAAAACAGCATAAAAATTGTCACGAAATATGACGACTTTTATATCACGAGAAATTAAGAAATTTGAAGTTAAAGAAATCATACAACAGTTGCCAAATTCCTGTAACTTAAATATGCATAACATAAATATAAAGCATACATCATAATCTAGTTATTTTGAAATAAAAACGTTATCGCTACTTCATTTAAAAATTTTTGTTATTCAAATAAAAATACTCTCTTTTGTTTGAACTTGTCTCTGTTGTTCTTCAGATTCTTTTCTGTCTTAAGGTTTGTCAATTCATTGACCTGCCATTTTTGCAAACGCACTTTCTCAATTCACCTTCAACAATTAATTTTTCTTGCATTTTAAAATTTTTCATTCCGATCACCAACCGATCTCTAATTTGTTTCTCCTTGAAATCACAAGTTGTACCCTACTTTATGCGATAAACAAAAATGCTTGTTTTCACACCAAAGTAATTGTCATAAATATGGAGGACTTTTTGAAAACAATTTCTTTCCTCTTCAGCCATTCCCACTTGATCAGAAAAATCATTTCCAATTAGTAAAATCAAGTACGAAAGTTTTATTTTGTCGGTTTTTCTGTTGACTCTGAAATCTGGGCAGTTCCACGGATAAGTGGAATTTATCAAAAAAAATTCTTCTCGAAATTCATGGTTCGAAATTTTTTAAATGTTTTAATAACTTAATATTAGTTTGGCGAAAAATAATTTAACAGCCACATTATCATCTATATTTATATAAAACACATTCTAATCAGGGAACTGGTTGTTAATTACAGTAGATTTTGCTTTTTTAAAAACTATTTTCTCACGGATTAGGAAAATAAACGCTTTCATGTCGCCCTATTTCAATTATTGATTTACAATTTTCATTTTTCTACTAAATGACTGTGTTTTAAGTCAATTTAAGTAAACACGGTCATAAAGGAAGACATAATGCACATTAAAATGACAATGAATAGTTGTCTAGATACTTGAAAAGTGTAAAACTTTTGCTTAAAAAATCAGAATTTCACTTTTTGAAATAGGGCGACCGTAAAAAAATTCCAAATGTTTCGTTAATCAAAGCATGTACAAGCAAGTAAGAGTTTGCGTTGTATGAAAGCCCAATTCACTGACTCTAGAACGGAAGCCATGTGAAGCCATTTGTGAAGTCGTGTGAAGCCAAAAATTTAAGGAGTGTTGACAAGGTGGTTGTCAGGTGTGGAGTAAGGTGGGTCCAAATTTGAGGGGGTTTGTGAAGCCATTCAGTTGCAAACTAGAATTTTCACAGGTTGTAAAACAAGAAATAATAGAAAAGTGGAAATCAAAATCACAGAATGTAAACAACCGAAATCAAAACAAAACAGCAGGCCATTATTCATATGGACAACTTGGACAACGGAGAAACAATCCTCCAATTCCGCATCTTCCTAAGCGATCAACGCGAAAACAAAAAAAATTGACTCGCATCCAGACGCGTGGATAGACCAAATTGCAATCATCGTCAAAAGAAATCTAAAACATCAGCTTTAACCAGTCTATAACACAAAACTAATGGAATGCATTGGAATCAAAGTATTCATCAATGACATGGTCAGTTGTCACATCCTCTCAGTCTATCTCCCAGGAGGAAGCAAAGGAGGGGAAATAGATCAACATCTGAGAGATGACATCAACAAAATAACAAATCTGAAAGGCAATTACTACATCTGTGGAGACTTCAATGCAAAACATCGAGAATGGAACTGCAACGTTGCAAATAAATCAGGAAATATTCTTCAGGAAATGTCAGGAGAGTTCATGATCTACTTTCCTGACTCGCCAACGTACTACCCAGAAGATCGAAACAAATCAGTGTCAACAATTGACCTGATGCTCTCGAATTCCAACCTCGAAACAACAGAACTTCAATGCACAGAGGCAATGAGTGATCACTACGCTGTGTATTTCCAAATCAACACATCAAAAATCGACAGAACTGAAAATACAGTATAAAGATATGACTACAAAAATGCAAACTGGAAAAAGTTCAAAGCACAAATTTCACGCCGTATCGAAGACAACATTGGAGAAAATCTTTGCAATACAGCAGAGGAGATTGAGAATAACATTAAGATTCTCTCTGAACTCATCATGGAAGCGAGGAACTCAAGTGTAAAAATGAAAAGATCAACTTCGAATCAGCTAAACTCACACCGGAAATTAAAGATCTAATCAATACAAAAAGAAGTCTTCGTCGAAGATGGCAGAGAAGCAGAGATAATCAACTCAAATCTGAATTGAATTATCTGCAGAGAGTCATCAATGAGAAAATTAAAGAACTCAAAAACAAAAACTGGAATAAACGTCTCTCAGAGATTCAACCGTCAAACCAAACAGTTTGGCGAATAGCAAAATTTTGCAAAAAAAGTTCAAAAACAATGCCTTCATTGACAAATCTGGGTAAAACATTCATCACCAACAAAGAAAAAGCCAGCGCACTCAGTGAGTATTTCCGAGAAGCTCACGAAAATCCTCTGGAACAAAACGACCCACAACATACACAGGAAGTAAATTGGAACAAGACAATGATGAGAATCCAGAATTAACAGATGTAAACGAAATCGTGAGCATCATAAGAAATCTGAAAAATCTTCCTGAAAAAGGTTTCGAATACTTGAAATTCATCATCAATTCGTGTCTCAAACTCAATCACTTCCCCAAAGTTTGGAAACACGCAAAAGTGATTCCTATTCCAAAACCTGGAAACCGGCAAATGAGTTAAGCAGCTACAGGCCAATAAGTCTACTCAGCTAAATAAGCAAAATACTGGAGAGAGTATTGCTGAACAGAATCAACGATCATCTTGAGGATAACAACATCATCCCAAGCCAGCAGTGCGACTTCCGGACCGGAAGATCAACATCTCATCAGCTCATCAAAGTGATCAAATCAGCAAAAGAAAACTTAAACAACAAAAAGTCAACAGGCATGCACTTCCTGGATGTAGAAAAAGCATTTTTTTCAACAGAGTCTGGCATAACGGACTCTTGTACAAAATGATCAAACTGAGATTTCCACTGCCACTTATAAAAACTGCAAGATCTTTCCTTAGTGAAAGATCTTTCGCAGTTTTTAGTAAAGGTCAGTTCTCAAAAATCAAGGTTATCAAATTCGGAGTGCCACAAGGAGCAGTGCTTTCACCAACTCTCTACAACATCTTCACGTATGATGTCGTAAGAGAGACAACCAACAACATCGGTCTTTTCGCAGATGATACAGCACTGTATCATTCTGCAGAGAACTCGGCCGATATTGTCACACATCTACAGCACACATGGAAGATCAACCTCAACAAACAGAAGGCTCAATCCTTATTCATCACAAACAGGCACTCCAGGCAACTTACTGGAAATAACATCAAATTTCTTAACAAAAACCTCAAATGGGAAACAGAAGCTAAATATCTGGGAATGGTGATCGACAAGAGAGTGACATTAAAGTCGCATGTGGAGTATGTGACCAATAGGGCTCACACCGCATTAAGACAGCTTACCCACTCATCAGCAGGAACTCACAACTCGACGTACGAAACAAACTTCTCATCTACAAGCTAGCCATCAGACCAATATTCACATATGGTTGTTCAGAATTTGGAAGCATGGCAAAAACCCACCTTCAAAAACTTCAAGTACTGCAAAACAAATTCTTGAGAATTGTTCTCAATAAAACAAGATATGAAAGGATATGGGCAATTCCACGAATGTGATTTTATAAAAATTTCGACTTAAAACTATTTTTTCTCAAAAATGAGCCATCTAGACAATCCAACAACTAGATATGAGTATGTAAATTGATGAATTCTACTTAAATATCTTTTTTTCTTTCGTCTACATGCTTTAATTAACGAAATATTTGGATTTTTGTGACGGTCGCCCTATTTCAAAAAGTGGAATTCTGATTTTTCAAGCAAAAATTTTACACTTTCTAGGTAACTAGACAAGTACTCATTGTCAGTAAATTCTGTCTTCCTTTATGACCCTGTATACTTCAATCGACTTAAAACACAGTCATTTAGCAGAAAAATGAAAAATTGTAAACCAATAATAGAAATAGGGCGACCTCAAAGCGTTTATTTTCCAAATCCGTGAGAAAATGATTTTAAAAAAGCAAAATGTACTGAAATTAACAACCCATTGCCTGATTAGAATGTCTTTTTACATAAATAAAGATGATAATGTGGATGTTAAATTAGTTTTTGCCAAGCTGATATTAAGTTAAAATGCATTTAAAAAATTTTGAACCATCAAGTTCGAGAAGAATTTCAACTCATTTTTGATAAATTCCACTCATCCATGGAATTGCCCATATATGTCCTCAGAAAAAATAATTACGGTTAAATTTTCAAATATTAAATATTAACACTGCACTACCACAAAAATTTTACACGGAGAAAAATTGAAATTTATTGTAGTGTTAGTTTTGCTTTGTTCGATTTTTTTTGTACGACGCAAGCTTACACACAATATCTTACTACTATGTTTATCTCAAGTAGGGTATAAATAGAAAGTTTTTAGAAAAAACCAAAGACACCACTTGAAATTTGACAAAATGTCAAAAAAATATGTCTTAATTCTGAAATAGTTTTCAACTCGCAACTCGAAACATCTCTGACATACTTCATCAATCATTTTTTTTCTATTTAAGAAACAATTTTGATAAAGTTTATTTTGAATTTGAATTACATTTATTCAGAATTATTGTTGAGGATGGGTTTCAACAGTAAAGCTTTGAGTACTGATGACTCAGAATAAATAAAATATACGAAGTACGTTTGGTAAGACTTCGGAGTGCACTGATACCTTAATTACAAGTGTCAGTGCTTTTATTCAAATATAATTGTTTATAAGAAATATACTTAACAATAAATATAGGAAGTTTATCGTAACAATAAGTGACAATTTTATGCTTAAAAATATAAATAATATTTTGTAAGAATTTTTGCGAAACTAGAATGTTTGGACTTATTGCTTAACTTAAACATCCTCCCCAACAGAAGAGTTGTTCTCAATCGGAACCTCAAGTTCCCATTCCAAAAATTCTAGTGCCACATTTACATAATGATTCCCATTTGTATTATTTTCTATTGGTTGCTCAATTAGATCTGAATTTACATGTTGTATTTGAAGGGCTTGGGCTCTTCTTTTGAAGATCAGCGATTTGGTA